TATATAGGCTAACCTTTTATCTGGCTTTTCTTGTACGAATCGTAGTTCTAGGTCTTTGTTGGCAGATTGCTCTCCAGAACTTCCGCCCCCTTGATGGTGGGCCCGGGCCACCGGAAGCGTCGCCATGTTGTTTTCGGACTCCACCTCGACGGTAGCCACTTTCACCTCTCCACCCACCATTTCACCGGCTGTGATCGCTCACTAATTCAGTTCCTGTTCTCGGATCTCACATCCTAATACCGGCCCGACAAATGCATCACAATAACGATTACGGTTTTGTATCTCTTGTTTATTTCTCCATAGAACACGAACTATATAAAGTTAATTTTCGGATAACTTTATATTTTTAAGTGGTTGAATAGAGGATTTTACTGGAGTATAAGGGCGCTACGCCGGGCGGATCTGCTCGAATGGCGGCTGACTGATTCTGCCGAACGTCGAGAGATGTTGCAGGAAGGGATGCTGCAGTCACGTGAGGGTGCGTCCAGACGCCTATTGGCTCTAGGGGGCTGCGTCCCGGGATTCGACCCAGTGACCTCGCCTTTCAGGGAACGTTTTACCGTCTTTACTATTTACCTTTCTGTTGTTTTTCCAATTTGCCTACTTCATAATGCTTCTTATATGTTTTCATTCGAGTCGTAAGAAAAATGCTCACATACCTAATATAAAGTTTCGCGTAAAGGTCGCTGGAAATTTTCAATCAAAAAGAGGGCGTGTTTTAATAATTGAAGTATTGTGCGCAAGTTCATGATTTCCTGGAATAACAAACTGAATATAGCTCGATCTTTTGTTGTGTATAGGGGCGACAATTTTTGTTGTGTATTTGTAATTGTGCGACTTTTGTTGTGTATAGGGTCGACAAATTTTAATTAATGATTAGCCTACGTAATATTTAGATAATGGTGATTTTTTTTTTAATACATAGTTTGAATAAATAAACAACACAGATCTCAATATTATGATTCGCACGCAAATTACTATTTTTTTGCTAATAAAGCTTATAAGCAAGTATATAAATGTAGGATTAAATTTCATACACAAATTATTTTTGATTTTTTTTGCGAGAATATATACGCATAAACACAATAATTAATTTATTCCTGCAGGTAATATATTTTAAACGGGTTTCTAAATTAAGAGAAACATATACCGCGTGGTGCATCTATTATATAGGTTTACATAGGTTTGTTACACAATTTTTTTAGAACAATTTTCAACAATCCGATTTTAACTAATTTCAAAAAAACGGCATTTATTTTTAAATTAAAACTTATCAGTTAACGATGCAAACCCAGACAAAAATGTACTACAATATGTTAAATCATACATTAAGTTGTCAATTTATGATATTATCTTTGTCAAATGTTACTTGTTGTGCTATCTACACTACTACGTTATAGTACAAAAGCCCTAATATACAGGGTGGTCCGAACTGTAATCCGGAAACTTCGGCAGCATATTCTGCAGATAAAAATATGTAAAAAAGTTCGTATATGTCCTAAAATGCTTAGTTTCGGAGATACAGGGTGTAGCAAATAATTTGTGAAGTAACATCAATATTTGGATGAAAATCGGCGCATGGGAGTTTTTTGACATGAGAAATTTGATTTTGATGTTAATATAACTCCTATTTGTAGAGGGCGCCACCTACATGTATTTTAACTGTTTTGAAGAGTAATAACTTTTCGTCCATACCTGTATAAAACTACTGAGTGAAAAAATATAACATTTACATTGTACAATACAGTACAATAAAGGGATTTTTCAGACCTGGGGTGCAACTTTGTTCATGTTTCAAAGCGATAGCAAAGTAATTTGTAGGTTGAGGTGCTATGTTCAGTAGCAACATCGATTCGTAGCGATATTCTGATTTCTCGCTTTGTGGCGAGGCCACTGTGTCGCACACCTGTGCAAGAGTGTGATAGTGATACCATATTTCGGAGCATTTGCCGAGAATACCCGATTTGATAAAGCGACAATAATTTTGCAATGAACATAGTACCGATCATGCTTCAACATCGCTTCTAAACGATCGGTTGCTAACTTGAACATAGTTGCACCCCTGGAAAATTACAGTTTGAGGTTGGAACCTTTGGTGTTACTAGTGATGGGCAAAACTGTTATTTTTAGATAACAGTTGAAACTGTTATAGTTATTTATAAAAAACAGCTTAAAATAACAGCTTAAAAATAACAGGTTTCTTTATTTTACTGCTAAATATCTGAAAGAGTATGAGACCGTCATCGCCAGGCGTATTAACGCAGTTGCAAGTTGCAACAATGACGTGCTCGGTGGTAGTATTTCCAGGGTGTCAAAACATTTCTAAATATCGATTGTTATCTAAAATACCTCTCTAAAAACGGTGGTTATTTACAAATAAGCGCTGTTTACAAATTGCGATATAAAAAAGCCAAAATTCGGCCACTCGTCTATAGTATATACCTACGCCCTGCCCCTCGATCCGCGTAGATCCTGAATTGCGTAGCAGTGTACAGGGTGCATCTCACTCGACGAGCGAGAAGCTCTTAGTTATAATTTTACCATTTGCGGTCAAAAAATAGCAATATAAGAAAATGTGTAGTATATTCTTCATAAGTAAACCAACTACACACTAGAGTTCGAATTAATTTTACACTTAAACTAGCGTGTACCCGCGACTTCGTTCGCGTCGAATTAATAATTTCTAATGGTGATGATAAAGCAAAACAAGAATTTCCATTAACATACAAACTGGATAAGATTTTCTCACATTTGCCAAAAATAAGCTTTCTAACGTCGAGCAGTTTAAGCAGAATCGTGGTTAATCAATTACTCAACTTTTTGGAACACCCTGTATGATTTTTTAAAAAATTTCAAAATATTTAAAAAAAAACAAAATAAATTATGCGTGTCCAGGCGTTTTCCCGAAAGACTAACCGTTTTTTAAATAACAAATATTGTAATATTTGAGGGACGTTTTCACCCTGTTGGAATTTGAGATTCGAGAAACCCCTCCTTATTGAACCTCAACCCCACAGTCAATCCGTTTGCAAAAAATCAGCTTTAAACGTCCAGCAGTTTAAGCAGAATAGTGATTACTCAATGGTCATATTTTATGAAACACCCTGTATATATTTTTAAAAATCTTAAAATATGTAAAACAACATATTAAAATATACGTGTTTTATGAGTTTTTCCGAAAAACTCACCGGTTTTTAAATAAAAAAATATTCTAATATTTCAGAGTAGTTTCACCCCTTAGAATTCGAGTTTCGAAAAATCCCTTCTTATCGAACCTCTACACACTAAAGTCAATCCGTTTTCCAAAAATCAGCTTTTTTACGTCAAGGGCTTTAAGCAGGATCGTGATTAATCAATGACCAGATTTTTCAAAACACCCTGTATACATTTTTAAAAAATCTTAAAATATTATTCTGAAAATTTTTCAGAATAAATATATACCTAAATATTGAAACTTAATAAGTAAGTACTGAAACATACAGCGCCATAATATCTCGACCTCCGTCTGTTATGCTCGTAACAGGTTGAAACAGAATGTATCTAAAACAACTGATGGCGTTATTCCCCAACCTGTTTCGAACCTCCATCGACAATCGACCGATGCAGCAGCGTTCCTTTCCCACACCTATTATCTCGTCCGCCGCCCTGTTATGCTTGTAACAGGTTGAAAAACAACATATCTAAAATGACTGCTTCTCCAACCCGTTGCGAGCCTCCATCAACAATCGACCGATGCAGCAGCGTTCCTTTCCCACTCCTGTTATCTCCACCGCCAGGCGTTATGCCCGCAACTGTTTCAAAAACCTGCTTCTTTTATATCCTATTATTTTTAAGCTGTTGTAAATACGACCATTGACGGTATCGACCGAAGCAGCTACGTTCGCCGTACATGTTTTCCATCCATACTAGTTGTTTTTTGGAATTGCTTCGAGCAGCATAGAATTTCGTGGTGATGCAGAGCGCCGACTTCGTTTTTCCTTTCACGAGCGGCCGATCTCTATGTGTCGTTATTTTATATCTGTTATTTTTTAAAAGTAGTAACGGTTGCGTTATGTTATTTATAAATAATTGTTATAAAATAACAGATAGTTAAATAACAACCCATCACTAGGTGTTACAACCATATACGTATTACTTTTTACAAATATACTCAGCCTAATCTCCAAAAAGTGAAGCCCAAACAGTGAAAGAACAATATGGAATTCTGCATAAGTCTATTTCACCCGGATATTCATTTAACTGAGCATGCCTCACCTGAAGAAGTTTTCATTGGTCGATGTTTTTAAAGGGAAGTGGTTGACTGACATTTCCCCTAACCTTCAATTTGATTTATATTTTTATTATTTATAACACATTATCATGGAGTTGGAAAAATATAAAAAAATAGTTGGAAACAATAAACTAAACAAAATCACTCTTTTACGCGCACAAATAAAAAGTAATACAAACAGAACTAAAACAACAATCAATCGGAGTTTGGCGCAATCGCAGTTCAATCCATATCCGGGTGAAATAGACTTATGCAGTTTTAATATGGAGCTGGGTTATGTTGTCTTTTTCTTACGGCACAGAAATTGCACACGGGGTTAAATAGGGAACCCTGAGTATATTTGTAAAAAGTAATACGTATATGGTTACAACAGCAAAAACTGGACGCGTGTTTCGCTGACCATGTAAGCGTCATCAGCAGATGATCAAAACTCTCTGTGAGTTAAAAGCGTTTTGGTGTATTGTGATGACCTGTTATTTTACCTAATAGGTACTAGTAGTTTTTCTAATATTTATTTTTCAATGAATATTAAATTGCAATTGCTATAACAATTATTGTTCCTGAAAATGGTATACTCAGAAACTACAGAAAAATATTGTAAGGTATCTATTTGAGTGAGATTGTAAGATGCTGCAGAGTGATGCAGATTTAACATTATCGAATTAAATTTAAAAACTAAATAATGCATTTTTTACGTTATAATAATGTAATTATCTCTTTATCTACTTACTTGGCATTTTTTGGATATGTCTTTGTTTCGTAGACGTGGAAATCATCTTCGGGTTGTTTTGGCATGAGGGGAGTTTTGTCAGCACGAACATGAGTGGGTGACGTATGAGATCCATATCCATCAGGATTTAACTGAAAACGATATGGCAATAATACCGTATGTCCGAAAAAAACGGCGTCTAGTTCACTAGGAAATAACAATCGATGGCATTTTCCACGTAATTTTCCATATAAAATGACAGCAATGTTCATTTCCAAGCCAACGTTATTATTTTAATTTATTCAATCATAATACACACATTAAAATTTTTGATGTATTTTAATATTTAATATATTTTGTTTTAGTGCGCCGAGTTCAATGATTGTTTAAGCAATTTGTAGCTAAAATATTTGACTTTTTAGTATTTCTTTCTAAATTAGGTATGCTTTTTTAAAACACTTGTGTCTAGCCCTAGCAGGCAACGATTAGGCCCGACCAATCACGTTAGAGTTTTTGACAAACACAAATGAATTAACCACGCTAACCAACCTGATTGGTCAAGCTTAAAAGTTTACTGCTAGGACTAGACACTTCTTTTTAAAACTGCTTACCTTAACTACAGTAGCTACAGGTTGTTGTTGAGGGAGAAGTGCTTGCTGTTCCATTTTAGTCGGAGGAGGTGTGAGAGGTTTTTTGGCAGATTGTATTTGCTCCACCGGAACTTGTTCTCCCAGAAGCCGCTCCTTCATTTCGTGGATGTACGGGCACCTCTGCATATTGAGCTTATACTGAAATACACATGGAATGGTGATATTTTTAACTAATTTTATTGCATTATAATTTCTGTAGCAGTCTACAGAAATTATAAATATCAGACGAGTTTGGGTTCCATCAATGGTGCGAGTGCAAAAGGTATACATTAGTGCATAAAGAATTCTGCTAACTTAACCAACCACCTATTATGGTGATGATAATATGAACAATGCATAGGTTTAAGTTAGTGATATCTACGATACTGGTAATCAATATAAATAAGAATCAAAATAACTCAAAAAAGAATATCCAATGTCATAATATGACGTTACGACAATAGTCACCAATACCACAGATTAGGTATACTATATGTATACAGATAAAAATCTTATCCCTAATTCGTGGTACGAAAATTGTTTTTTATGACGATGTGCAAACGAGTAAAATTTCCTGTGCGCAAATATAAACTCGCGTAAAATAACAATAAACAGCGTAATAGAGAGATATCGCTAAACCGAATAGCGTGCATGGACGTTAATAAGGCCAAGTGTTATTTCCTTTACGTGAGGTGATATTAACTCTCTTCATTTATAGTTATCGGATCGAAAAGAATTCTGTTCGTGTCGCGTCCGCTATTTAAACTTAACCTAACTTTGAATTTAAAACTTTGAAATTGTTTTGTTTACTAAGTATTTTAAAACTAAAGGGCTAAAGTGCTTATTTCCAGTGCTTCATTGTTCAATGTCTGCCAGTGGGTTTTGGGCAACAAGCAACAAATTCTCTTAGAAGGGCTAAGTCGGCATCTGTTGTAAACCTAAGCCTCTTTATAGGTTTTTTAATATTGGAAGAGGTTAGAATGCATATTTTGGGCTGTATTTATTTAATTAAAACTAATCCCAGCTACTTAAATATCAAACTGAAGTAATAATTCAAAACAATTCAAACATAACCTAAAATAAAAGATCTCGCCGCTCGCCGGCCGGCCCCGGTTGTCAAATGTACCCGCACATGCCCATTTAAGCAATTTTTAAACTGTAAAATCGTTATTTTTGGGGCTTACTCAACCGGGTCTCACAATGCAAATTCACCACAAATATCCATTTAGTTGGTCATTGGCAAACACTCTCTCATTGTACATGAAAGTAACAAAACAAACATTTACTGATCTGGATAAAATTAATAGTTAAATAGTAAGACTCACCCGGGGGTACTCCGCCCCCTAGCCACTGACATCACTGACATTCTATTCAATATATCCCATTCCATATCTTCCATCTAATTCAAATATTATTCGGATCTATTGGTTAATAATCTTCAACAACTAGCTAGTGTCACCTGAAATAGTATAGGGGCTTCCCCCGGACGCAATTCTGCCGCTAAACAGATTCGCATCCCAATCGAATAAGCTATTTGGGTGGCTCACCATCCCAACGCCGCATCGTCAATCGAGAAGACATTATGGAGACCTCAAACTCTCAAGACCAACTCGAAGGCAGGACGTCACAGAGGTTTTCTTACCGTGGTCAAACGACCCCGTTGGCTTACAGTCAAATGACTTGCAACTATATTAGTCAAAAGACTCGCAACCTCCATTTGTCAGCTCTGTGACAAAACACAACACTACACAGCCGGCCGGCCTATCAACAACTGACTGACCTGCCGCCTGCCGAGCTAAGCCTCCTCTTACATCACAATTTTACCTGATCACAAATATTTACATCGCTTGCCAATGAATCATACTGTTTTCTCTAATCGACTTTCAAATATAGAGTGTTTTAGCATTACCAAATAAATAAATAGAGAGTTTCCGAAGGAATGCATATTGTTTATTAGAATAGTGAATAAATAAAAGCATTATTATGACGAACTTATTTTCCAAGTTTTACAAAACGTTATTTAGAAATAGCGCTTGATGTAATTGATCCGCAAATTACGTCAGGCGGTATCGTTATTAGCGGGTGTTGCGTTAAAAATTGACTCGCGCATATCGTAACCATGATAAGGTACGCGTAAATCCTGTATGACGCTATTCGGTTTTCCGATATCTCTCTAATAACTGTGCCGGTCAGGCGCTGTGCACAATTTTAGAGGCCATAAGTGGGCGTGCTATGTGCGCAAACTAGTCACCTAACTAGTGCCCGATTCCGAAAATTGGAACCACGAACTATAAAGAAAAAACAAAGTTTATAATCTGTATGATCTGTGCCAATACCATCTCGTTATATTAAAAAAATTACTGTTTTACTGTTTTTGTTTACTGTTTTGGAATTTTTCCAATTATTGATAATTGGAAAAATTCCAAATTGATCGTTATCAGTTTATTTAGCTCTTAAAAATTAACCAAAGCATATATTGACATAAATCAAAAAACAAAATGCTCAGGAGTCATGGTTCTGGCCGTAAAATTATATTTTAGAAAAATTTACACACAAAATTATTGCACAGGGTGTTTTATAGTTAACTTAAAAACAACCCCCCAGTTAACAAAAATTTTAAAAAAAATCAGTGGCGCACATGTTTATTTTTAAAATACTACTGGAATGCACGACGGTGCCTGTGATAACCCATATGCACGTCTGTGATAAATCTGTAGACCACTCTTTTAGCATTAAAATATGTAGCACTTATGGTAACTTCTTCCCTCAAAATGTCATTTAAGTCACTAGAAGCACTTGGAACAAAATGACAATAAATCGAAAAAAACGAAAACTTTAACCCCCTGTAGCTACAAAACAAAACAGAATCGGACCTGGGTTGATATAAAAAATAAATCTGATTTTTACACGGGGAATATCTCCACGAGAGATGGCACATATTTTTTGCAACTCCCTGTATATTTAAAATATTTAGTTTAAGATCGATTCACATAAGTATATACGTTTCCGTTTCGTCGACATTTAACAGCAGTTTGACCAAACACATGAATAAATTTCCCATTTTCCGGTCCCGGCGACGTATATGGCTTCGAATAGCGTCTGTTCAGTGCATATCTAATAGAATCCGGCCAAATCGGCCTTTGGCATTAAGAAAGGCGATGGAAAACGTACACGCGTCGAATGTTGTATTTTCTGCATGCCAAAATCGAGAGAAGTCTCTCCCAGGCGCTTTCCCAGACTTCCTGATCGCGGTATTTATATTTTCGAGATGTATATATGATGTATACTCGATGACCTAATTGTAAAACTCATTTCCTAACTTTGTTTGTTGTTTTCGGTTTTGTAAGTACGGCTCACTAGACCACGTGGAAATATTTATATACCAATAATGAGTTATTCTCCTTCTGTTATTATAGGATTATTTATAGATTTGTAAAGTATATAAAATTTAAGCTCTAGATTTTATGATGGTATTCAGAAATAGTTCATTTCTCCTATATCAATATGAAGATGGCAGAACACGTCGGCAAAACCAGTAAATGTGTTTAATAGTATCACAGATTGTAAACTTTGTTTTTTCTTTATTGTTTTTCGTGGTTCCAATTTTCGGAATCGGGCACTAGTTAGGTGACTAGTTTGCGCATATAGCACGCCCACTTATGGCCTCTAAAATTGTGCACAGCGCCTGACCGGCACAGTTATTAGAGAGATATCGGAAAACCTAATAGCGTCATGCAGTATTTACGCGTACCTTATCATGGTTACGATATGCGCGAGTCAATTTTTAACGCAACACCCGCTAATAACGTTACCGCCTGACGTAATTTGCGGATCAATTACACCAAGCGCTATTTCTAAATAACGTTTAAAAGTTGCTTAAATCAGCATGTACGGGTATTTACAACCTGGGCCGGCCGGCGAGATTTTATTTTAGGTGATGTTTGAATTGTTTTGAATTATTACTTTAGTTTTATTAGGTAATCTGATATTTAAGTAGCTGAGATTAGTTCTAATTAAATAAATATGGCCCAAAATATGCATTCTAACCTCTTCCAATATTAAAGAACCTATAAAGAGGCTTAGGTTTACAACAGATGCCGACTTAGCCCTTCTAAGAGAATTTGTTGCTTGTTGCCCTAAACCCACTGGCAGACGTTGAACAATAAAGCACTGGAAATAAGCACTTTAGCCCTTTAATTTTAAAATACCTGGTAAACAAAACAATTTCAAAGTTTTAAATTCAAAGTTAGGTTAAAGTTAAATAGCGGACGCGACGCGAACAGAATTCTTTCCGATCCGATAACTATAAATGAAGAGAGTTAATACCAGCTCACGTAAAGGAAATAACACCTGGCCTTATTAACGTCCATGCACGCTATTCGGTTTAGCGATATCTCTCTATTACGCTGTTTATTGTTATTTTACGCGAGTTTATTTTTGCGCACAGGAAATTTTACTCGTTTGCACATCGTCATAAAAAAACAATTTTCGTACCACGAATTAGGGACAAGATTTTCATCTGTATACTTATAGGATACCTAATCTGTGATATTACGTGGAATATTTGATCCGCAGTCTCTAAAATTTCAGAAACTTTGAAAGTACTAATTGCTTTTTGATGGTTGATAACGTGACGAGGTCGATTTATTAATTTGGAAATATGGATGAGGGGTATTCAGGGCATAACTAACTGATGAGAATATTGTTGAAGTTAACCACAAACTTCGTGGCAGATTTGGCAGGGTTGCCAAATGATTAGATTTTTACAAATTGTGAGTGATAGGATCGTTAAAGACTACTATAGCTACAATTTAAAATTATTTTTAAAGTTAGTAGTTATATAAATTAAATTTTTACACACTCTGTATAACGAAATATTATCTTTATTATTGCAGTATAAGTTTTACTGCATTACTAGTGATGGAAATAAAGTGATTTATTTTGAACGCAAGATTCTGTTATTCGACAAAACACCATAATTATTAAAACACAATAAACAACGAACCTTCATCTTTGGTATTATTGTTCTTTATATTGTTATTGCAACTATTGTTTTACGAAGGATTTTATTAATTCTGATTCTCACTCAAATGTTTTTTATTAGTTTTTATGATTTTGTAATATTTAGGACTCCTCTAACATCTGAATATTTTAATTAT